ACAGCTTCACTTTGGCAGATACCCAGGAAGATGTCGTGAGAAATTGTAAAGATGTATAGAATTGATCATTTAGCGTGGTTTAATAAAAGTAAGTACACATGCACTAAAAAGTAGAAGCTGGATTAAAAAAAAAAAAAAAGGATTATAATCTTTCTTACTAGAACCTGGAAGTCTCTCACTAATGTAATAGAAATGTTTGTAATATAATTTGTATTGTATTTGTGTATTACATTTCATACTTTTTCGTCTATACCTTTTATTCTTGTCAGCACAAGCATTCTTGGCTCCTTTCCCTTTTTTCTTCTTTTTATCTAATAATTTACTGTAACAATTTAAAAAAAAACCCAAACAAAAAAAAACCCAATAACTCTAATGATACATCTGCGATCATCAGAATAAATCCCAAAACCAAAAGATAGTAATTGTAACCACATCATCTGTTGACCTCCCTTTCCTCCCTCCCCACCATGGGCAAACTTCTGAAGCTTTACCTCAATTTTTTCTGTTGTCATTTGGATGAACCTTCATCAATAGAATCAACGTCTCTTTTTACCCTAGAAAGAGGTGAAAAATGAAGCAATTGGTTCAAGATGTGGCTTCACTTCCCTAAAATGTGTCTGTTCTCATTCCCCTTTGCATCTGCCCATGCAGCCACTTATATTTTAAGTGTGCCTTCCAACCCCCAAACCCATCTGGTCATGACACTGCTCAGGGATGACTAAAGCAGCACACAGGAGCTTCATGTGACCATGTTGTCACTTGGGATTCATTTTTTTCCCCTTGGTTCCTCTCAAACATTCCCAGGGGCCGTAGTTTACAAGCCTATTGCTCCCTCTAGAGCCCTTCAGTGCCGTTCTGGGGGACCACATAAATAATCTGTCATCACACTAGATGTGAGCTCACTACTCGTTTTGCTTCCAGCCTCTGTCAGATGGGATGCAGACTGAATGCAGACTTCAAGTTCCTGTGTTGTAGCATAGAGCATGGGCCCAACACCTTCAGATGCTTGGGTCTTGGCTGATTTTCACCTTTTGCTGGTCCAGGAACAGCATTGCTGAGCAGGTGCTTTGTGCTTTCTCTTAAGTTCTTGCAGCTTTGCACAGCATCAGGGGATCACACGAGCAATCCTGTAAAGTCATGAGCTGGAGACAACTGGTTTAATCCATCTGACTTCGGCTATCAAATCAGCAGTGACTCAGGAGAGCACTTTTGATAGTAAAGTCTCTAGCAAACCTGTCAACAGAGTCTCTAGGTATCATTTAAAAAGTCAGTGTTGTATTTTGGCCAGAAATGCTGCTGTTTCCATTATTTTTTATAGAAGGTTTCTGACCTTAATACTCTTGCAAAAATAAACATTACCAAGCAATTTTTCCTATCCTAGTTGTGAGGGAAGACTTGATGGAAGCAGTGAGTCTTGTGATCTGCCCTTATGCTTACAAGGGTATGTTTTATGTCCATGGGAAGGGTTTCCAAAGGCAGAGCCCTGTCCCACATCTGGAGAATTTAGTCTTTGTGCTCAGGAGGTACTATGTGCCTAATATTAGGAACTGCCATGGATAGTTACAGAGAGAGCAACAGTCTCTGAAAAGACTCTTGCACCCCAGTGAGGCACAGCTTGACACTGACATCACCCATCAGCCCTTCCACCATCAGCCAGGACTCCCATGATGATGCAGTAGTGATTGGCTTCCATATACTGAGATATGTGCGATAAATCCAAGGTAATTTATATGTGGTTTCCTGTAGATGTATGGGACTGTTTAACCCAGAGGGTCTCCGATTTTGATGTTAGCTAATGGAGGGCTATGTGCCGGCTTGCTGTGACTGTTAAGATGTCATCAAATTGTAATCACGACTATTGGAGGCATCCAAACCAGACCAGTGTTTCAGAATGCTTTCTTGGGGTGTTTGGTCCCTCTTTACTGTCACTAGAGAGGTCAGTCCATCACTTCAGCTGTCTGACTCGGTTTTGGTGGCACACACCCCTCTCTGAGTTGAGCAGAGACACTAAGTGCTCAGTGTAGGTCTTCTACTGCTACTTAGGGGGTCCACTTATTTCAGCATCAGAAATCATGACATTTAATATAGGCTCCAATGCTAGGGCGTATGAATACAGCCTCCACTGGCTAATCTGGTTTTACTTCCACTAGTTTATTCTGCTGCATGTTGAATATGTATGTGTGTGTGTATGTGTGTGTGTGTGTGTGTACGCACTTGTGTGTAAGTGTATTATGCAAGTGTATGTTGAAAATAAAAAGCTGTATCATGGCTGTATCATAATGCATAAAAGCAAGGAGACTTTTATAGTCCTGCTGTCATCCCAAAAGAGCTATACACATAAAACACAGATTTCACTAACAATACCTCCAATCTAAATCTACCTTTGTCAACCAGACACATAAATGATGAATAATGTAGAAGCTATGAATAAAAGTGATAAAACCACTTAATAAAGCTGAATGTAAATGAAACAGAATAACCAGAGAAAAAACACAGGCAGAATTATTGGTAAGCAGCAGTGAGTGACACATAGGTTTATGGTTATATAGTCCTGTGGTTAACCAGTATGTGGTTAATGAATAGTCTTCTGTCAACAAGAAATAAGCTAAGTATCTTCCTGCTTTTGCCAACTTATGTCACAACCTTATACAGGCTCTGAGATCTAGTCTCTTCTGTAGAAAACCTTGAAAGTAACTTCACCTCCCTCTTCTTCTTTATTCTGGTCTTGTAGACTGGTAATGTGACTACATTTTGTTACATTTCACTATAGTTATATTTTTTTTTTCTGCGTTTCTTTTCTATCTGGAAAATCCACAAAAGCCTTCTAAAGAAATAAATTGACTACATATTCTAGAAGAACAGTAGGAGCACCTTACCTAATGCATCAGCATTTGTAAAAAAAAAAATTAAAAAAAAACAAATAGGAAGGAAGGTGGAAATACTGCAGATTAGTAAAGAAAATAAAGTATATTTTCAAAGTATCTTTCAGTCTTAGTGATCTAAGTGTTGTATATAATGATACAGTGAAACTATTTTTGGAAAGAAGGAAGATCTACAGTTGCCCCTCTCATATTTGTTAAGTCTAATGCTATGGATGCTAACGAGTTTTGTAAAGAAGTTTATTGAATTTTATTAGTGATGCTTCGTAGAAAGATCTGTTGTACCGTCAGAGAAAGCGTAACAAAGCTGTAAAACTTTATCATGTAATTTGGTATTTAAAGAATGTCAAGAACACAGCCATCCTCAGTCTGGGTAGATGTAGGACCCAAGAGTTGAGGGCCAAAGGCCTCGAGACAGGAATCTGAAATGCTTTTTGCTTTTGTTGCAATTCTTTCGATATCGGTGACTGTTTTGTAGCAAGGATGTGGAGCTGGGAAGACACTGGCCTGGGATTTGAGAGGCTTATGTTTCAGCTTCTGTTTTGTCAGGGCTGTGACTCAGGATTATAGTCAGATTTAGTTGCAGCAGCAGCCAAAGTGGTTAGCATCGCTGGCCACAGGCTTCCTGTGAGATCAGACAAGACACTTTATCTCCCTGCAGTTCCTCACCCGCAGAGTGGGGAGAATACCTCCCTAATTCACAGGGATGTGATGAGGACAGTTTCCAGTAACAGCTATGTGTGTGTGCTCGCTATGATGTTGATGCAGACCATTAGCACCAGAGTAGGAACTGCATTAAGAGAAGTATTGAACTGCAACTGAATATGCATAAGGAGGGGGGGAATGTTGCTGCTAGAAGCAGGCATTTGTATTCACATTTATATTTAAATGTATAATTATTTATATAGATAAATGAAGCAAACAATAAAAAAGTCTTAGAAGGGAAGAAACTCAGCACTCAGGAGGGCTGGAGCCAAGTGGTAAAATAAAGCAGGGAGATCTGAATGGGGAAGGTCACATAGCATGTGCCCAAAGGAGGAGAACCTCAATTTTCTTGCAACAGTTCCTGGTTATCTAACTTTAGGTGATGTCCCCTGATGTCTCTTACTGATAACAAAGATTCCTGTCAGTATCTGAGTCCTCTGTGATTCTGAGATAACTATGCTAAACCTGCTGACAGGCAATGTTTTTATTGTTGTCCAGGCCAAAGCCATAATGGATGCATATATGAGGTCTTATCAAAGATGCAGAATGTTATTTTTGTTATTTAAAAAATGCCTGAAGTAAATGCTGGCATTGGCCAAAAGCAAACCCAGGGGTAGCAGGGTCTGAAGGCATTGCAGTCACAAGGGGATGCAAAACCCTTCCCAGCAGCCATCAAAACGAGTACTTTTCCCAACTTAGAGCTGTGGCATGCACATAACAATTTTGAAAAGGCCTTCACAGTTTTCCTTCTGAATAATAGAGAAACTAAGCATAATTCTCTGCTATGTCTTCATAAAATGTTTTAATTCTCTGTGGACAAGCTGTAGGGTTTTTGGGGTTTTTTTTTTCATTCCCTTGTTTCTCAGCATTGGAGTAACAGATTATTTTTAAAGAGTTCTGGTTCACAATATGGAATTGATCTAATGCTAGCTTCAACCACAAAGCATGGAATTTTACGATCTGCCTAGGGGATCTGAGCACCCAGTTCTCTTTAATTTTAGCAAGTGCTGTTGATCAGATTCCTGTGGCAGTTTTGGAAAAAGTCAGCCATAATTTCTAAGCCTCTCTGAGCTAACACCCTTTAGAAAGCACAGATAAAGCACCAGCAGTCATGTAGATCAGATAAACTCTAGCTGTTAGGGGTAACCTCCTTTTTTTATAAACAAAGTGTAGATCATTTAAATATAAATTAATTTTTTTTTTTCCAAAAGCTTTGAGCAGTTGCCACAGAGAGAATGCATCCAGCACCAGGCAGTTGCGAAGTTATACACCCCACTCTCTAGGCACATCTCTCTCTTCAGATATGGACAGCTAAAGCATTTTAGTGCCATTTGGTGTGTTCGGGTGCTATCTGAAATGAGGAGTACACCTTTTCTCAACACATATGCTCAGTAACATTTTTTTTTCCTCTTGCAGGGAAAAGCTTCACTCTGACTATCACCGTCTTCACAAATCCACCACAAGTAGCCACATACCACAGAGCCATCAAGATAACAGTGGACGGACCTCGGGAACCCAGAAGTAAGTGAGATAATGACAGCATTTGCAGAAGGCCAAGTTGACGGTTTAGTATAGGGGTTCCTCACCAGCCTCATGAAACGCAGCAATATCCAGTGCATGTGGAGGAGTGGGTAGGTTTTAAGCCAAAGCTGTCCTACAACTGGTTTTAATTATACCTTCCTGAAGCCTTATTTTTCATGGGTGTCCAGCTGATCTAGAATATTGCTTGCGTTGCATTTCTAAAGTGTCTACCCAGGGATGACTTGGATCATACCCAAAAGCTGACAGAAGGGATGCTGGTAAAAGGTGGGCAGCATATATATCAGCATATACCTTACACATAATTTCTTGCTAGTCTTGCCTTTCAGATATTAAGAGGGTTTTAAAGCATTGGAAACCAATATATTATTGATTTAACTTTTCAAGCTCAGCCACCCTGCAAAAACAAAAGAATGCCTGAGAGAGGACACCTGGTTGCTGCTCTGTGGAGTTCACTATACCTCATGCTGTTGTATAGTTTAGGAGCACCCATTTTCACCGACAGCCAATCTTTCCTTTTTTTTTCCCTTTCTTTTTTGAAGAATTAAGTACAAGGAGGAGCTGAACGGTTTGATATCTCCAGGGGAATACCTGCACCTTTCACACGGGTGGTTGTTTTGTTCGGGTGGTGAGGGCAAGCTGTTTTGTCTGTGGGGTGAAGTGAAGCAAGGGTGGAGCAGATCTGCAGGTATAGATGCTTCTGCAGCACCTGCGCTGCCTGTTACTGGAGGCAATTCTTAACCTCAGTCACTAGCCCGAATGGGGCATTTTCATATTTTGATTGAAATGCCCTGATGTAAATTGAGGTTTGCGGTTAGTTTCTTTCACTCCTCCTGCACGCTTGGCAGAAGTTCTGGCTGTTGCTTAAGTGGAATCATCCCAGGAGAAGAGAGCAGCAGGATTCAAACACCCACTAGAGAATGAGACTCACAGCTTGGGATTGCTTAACTGAGCGGGTGGGGAGGAGAAAAGAAAGGTTTGAAACTTCAACTAAAAAAACTTAGAAAACTCTTGTCTTGCCTGTGCATTTTCTTCTAGAGCCTTTGTTTGTCTGAGTTGTATCATGATGCTGCATGCATTTAGTGGAAAAATCTGACCTATATTTTTGGGATTTGAGGCCAAACTTGAAAACAAATACTGCTGTCAGGATAAGGCACCTTTTTTTTTGTTTTTTTTTAATTTGTGGTTGAATTGTCCCTGAAAAATATCCCCAGTGAACCAGTCAGCTGTGCACATAAAAAAAGATATTTGTATATGCAAGTTCCAGATTTGCATATGCAATTACCTAGTCATGTTCATAGTTTGCAGACAACAAATAAGGTTTAGGTTTTTTTAATATGAGTCTGCTAGAGTGGTAAGAAACAAAACTGTCCTGCAGGAATACCTACTGTTTCAAATCAATTCTTCAGTTGGTATAAAAGTTAGTATTTAGTAAGATTCTACATTTTAAAAAGGAACTAGAGATATAATACATGCTGAAGCAACATACCTATCTTCCCGACTCAAATGTATGTAACATCTTCCTTGTAAATAATTTCACTTTGTCGTAGGCAAATCAGCTGCGTAGTGGAGGAGGCTTTATGCGTGGCATGAGAAGAGGTCAGGCTCTCCTCTCAGTAGGAATGCAGACCTCCTTTTATCGCTAAGTCATTCATGACACAGCGTGGAAGGGATTATGCTCCTTTCATTTGTAAGTAAGTGGGCTGCAAAGTCCTTTGGTTTGACTTCTCACCAAGCGTTTCTAAATCGTGGTGGCTGTTGCCATCAGTCTGGTATCTCCTTTTCTTTTTATGCATTTGACTGAGATATGAATTGGCCTGAAGAGATACACCATGGGCTGTGAAAGAAAAAAATAAATGGTACCCAATGGATTCTCCATTCTGAGACAGTTCTGGTGGGTTTGGGCTATAAGTTTATTTTTCTATACTCTCACTCAGTGAGTGTATCCTATTTTGCATTGGTTCAATTAGATCAGTTCATTGTCTAGCCTGTACAAAAATAGATTGCAGGACACTTACCTGTGCAAACTCACATACAAGATTTGTGGTTACACATATCAAAACATGTATGCTGTGTACTGAAAGGATTTAAAATTATATCAGCCTTCTTGTATTGAGACTAGAATCAAAATGAAAACTGCTGGATTAGAGTGTTTCTAGTTTCAGTGATAGATATTTGGGAACGTTTGTGCTTACAGATCCATGACTCACCCGCTCACTTGAGCTAAAGGAATTACAGAGATACTGAGATGTATTTTCTAAGAAGTCTTGATCCAAAAGAAATCTGTGGAAAACAGTAATGGCAACAAAATTAGATACTGCTCTTACAGAGATCTAGAAAAAAACCATGCTGATGTCCAAAAATCAACTCCAGCAACAGGTTTCGATTAATCTAGTTTATGTTCATAACCGTTCTTGGACAGTCTGAATTCTAGTGAGTGCCTGCATTCTCTGTGAAAAATGCTGGAAGGTAAGGGGGCATTTCTGAGGACGGAGATCATCTGAGACAAAAGTCAGAACTTCACACCAGGATGACTTTTAGTGAACTTCACAGAACATAGAAATACCTTTTTTAAAAGCCTTTAAGTTTTATTAACTCAATAAATAACAGAAACACTGTATTTTATCTTCAGAGAATATCAGATCAAGAGCAGTTTCTGAGACAGAATTAGACTGGTTCTCAAAGTGAGGCTTTTTGATACAAAAGGACAGCCTCTTCAACTAGGCATGCTTGGGGAAAAAAACTTTCAAAAGTAATACCAAGCGGGATTCAAAGCCATCTTTGGAAAACAGAAAAATACTCAAACCAAAGGCTCCAAAAGCAAATATGCAAAGCACAGACTTTTTGGCTCACCAGGATGTGTGGAGATATCATGACACGTGATGATAACGTGGTGTGTATTATCACACGTGCCACCTTCACTCGGCACAGAGGCCTGCAGACTTTGCGTTCTTGCACGTCCCGTTGTACATTTAGTCGCAGTTACTGTGATGTCCAGGTCTTTGCCTAGCAGCAGATTTGCCTATGTAACTACCAGATTTGCATTTACAACTCTGATAGTTACTTGTGCGCAGGACTTAGACCATTGTCCTTTTTTTGCCATTGAATTTCTGGCTGTGCCTATGACACTTCTCATCAAATTGTCATGGCTTCTAGAGAGAGCAAAGGTACTTAAAAATCTGGCTCTTCCTCCCCTGCTTTCATTATGTTTTTTTAAAATCTCTTTTGAACTTAGCATTTTCATTCTCCAGCTCTGAATAAATGCTTATTTTCAAAATTTTTTATAAAAGAAATAATACTGCACTGTCAGGGAGAAGGGCAAGATGACCTAACCCATCATTTTCTTCTCCAACTTCTATGATTCTATGATTCATAAAGCAATTTATGTTTTTATGAGCTAAGTCCATGGGGAAAATCATTAGCAGTAACCAGATCAAGAGTAGTGCTCCTGATGAAAATACTTTTGGTTAGGAAACTTGGTAGAAACAGTATGACTCTTAAATTAAATATTTCCCTTAGGCCATTTGACCTACTGTGTACATCTGCTGAAAAATTAGGTTTTTCTTCTTTTGACTGCTTCTTTCTGTTTTTCTCATTGAATTGTTTTAACCTGCATAGCTCTGAAACATTCACTAATGGACCACGTGCCTGAAAATGGTGCAAAATGAAAAGGCTATCTGGATTTAGCCCCAGTGGGCCTGAGATGTCCAAGGTTAAGCTGGATATTAAATGTGATTATCCAATATTGGATATGTGGTTTTCCCAAATACTTTTTTGGCATCCTTATATCAAAGGGCAGGATGCTGAGGAGCCGAGAGAGATAGGATAATATTGCTGAGCAGGATTTAAGAAGGAGCTTAAAAAGCTGCTGGCCCAAGAAGAGCCTTTTTAGGAATGGAAGTTTCCTTTTGCCTCCTGGCAAGGCTAGCTGGGGAAGGGGGGTCAGGTACACGTTGGGTCAACCACAGTTAAGGACACCTTCAGACCCCGATCTGAAGTGATGCCATCTCATTTGTAAGGTTCAAGGAAAGCCCATGGCCTGTAGCTGTTCTGAAGGAAATATTCAAACGCCCCCTTGCCTGACCTGAGGTCTTTTTTAGGGAATCCCTAAGGGCTGGTGGTGTTAAGTACACCTGATCTGCTAAACTTTCCCCTGCCTGTCCAGCCTTTGCCCACAGACCTTAGACTCCCAGAGCAGCTTCTGGGAGGAGAATGGGCAGAGCCCAGGAGAGACTGGCATCCCCTGCCCCGTGGCAGAAGCAAGGAAGACTCTGCAGAAGTGAGGCTGGGGAGGGATGATTCCTCTGAGGGTTTCGCATCACTTCCACCTTCAGCTTTTCAGGCAAGGAAAAGTAAACCATTCTCCAAAAAACCTTTTCATCTCAGTAAGCTGAAATAATACTTCGTGCCTTCATCTCTTGCTTGCTTTCTGCTGCAAGTGCCTGCATCTGTTGGAAGCGGAGACTAATGTGTACCAACAAACAGTTTAAAAACCATGAAAAAATTAGTCATCGTGTCATTGGAATAGACCTACCATTTAAATTTCAGTGATGGCTTTTCAGTACTTTCATTCACCTGGAGACTTACAGTGCCTAAAAATTTCTTCTCAGGAAACCTGTAGAGGAAAAGGTGGTGTTTACAAGTTGATTGTCGCTATAACAGAAACTCAACGGGGATTCTTTCTTCCTTAGCTAGCACTGTCTGCGTGCTTCGCAGCACGCCACCCGCTCAGTATCACAATCCAGCTTTGCTAATAGCTTTTTAAAAAATCTTGGCTAAGGTACTTGCCCCTGAGACCTTCCAATCTAAATAGACTATGTACAGACAAAAGAAAGGGATGGGCTGCGAGAGAAGCCAACAGTTGCGCACTGCCGGGTCTGTGCCTGTGTGCTTGTGCCCCCACGTCCTATTGTCTGGGTGACACCAACGTAGGTGGACTAGTGCTTAAATGATGGGTGCACTCTGGGGACATATTGTAGTCA